TGAATTTTCTTTGTTAAAGGCCTTGAAGGCCTAATATGAATGTATTAAAATAAATATATTGGTCCCCTCAACTGTACATTTATTTGATGGTTCGAACTCTGTCGACCCCTATTGATATGCATAGAATGATCGGGTTCAAACTTGAATTCACTTATTGACCCGCGCAACATCCCTAGACATCACGTGTGTATCAATAACATGCTTGTTGGGGCCCATGCGAGTTATGATTGTACTTACCCCTTTGTGTACCTATATATATACAAATTACGGTGCATGTGCGGGGATATTTTAGACGTTCAATGGGCCTTCTATGACGGCTCGTAGAAGTTCATCTTTGTCGCAGTCTTTTCAGCATTTGCTTGTGGATAATATGTTGGATACACGACCATTGTTCATCAAGAATCTTGCAAGTCTCGATAATCGCATTCAACCTAGTGTTCAGAACCTGGTTGAACTGAGACTCACTATATAACAATTTGATCTAGCTTTCTTTTCCCAGAACTCGTATGGGAATCAACAAGCAACTCCCCAATGTGTCCTCATCATCATTCTCTGTTATTGGCTTAAATAAGGAATAAATCATCTCAACCTTGGATGATTGTGTACTTGGTGATGTCCTATACGTCGAAATCAATGGTTACTGCCTCGAGCGGACGTTGTAATTATTGCATCCCTTGAAATGACTGGAATAACATAAATATTTTTCATCTGTTGAAGGTCTTTAAACTTTGCTTTTAGTTGGTGTGTTGGACTCGTGAAAATCTCCTACAACATACATTGTGCAAGTGATAGGTTTGCTTGTCCTCTATCTTTTCTTACAACAGCTCAGTGTGTTTTGTTAGCGGATGTCCTTGTGTTCATCTAAAAATTAATGCTGACTGCAGGACACTACATCTTCTGGGATTTCTTCTACATGTTCATTATAATATTCTCTGTATTTCTTCTTGTAGATGACATATAGTGTGTATGATGGGTCTTTTGTACTGGCCCCTAAGAGCTTGCATTTACTGTATATCATTTGGTGTTTTCTTGTATATGGCATGTAGTGTATTCGACGGGGCTCCAATAATAATCTGTAGATGCTTGTATTTGTTGTAGTCATTTGGTGTTTTGTTCGTGGATAATGTCTTGAGCATGCAGCGGATTTCCTACATGCCTTAGTAAATAATGGGTAAATAACTCGCATTGACTATTATCGCCCGCAAGAAGACCATTGTATATTCTCTGCAATCTTCATGGGTCATTTCTTATGCATTGGTCGCATTGAATATTACTAATTTCATAATACCCTTGAAGATAGCTCTTGGCTCACATAATGAATTTGCTTGTTGATATTTGTGTTTTAGTTAATATAAGAGCTTGTTATTGCTTGCAAGTGTGTCGTCACATTTTGCATTTGCCTTCACTTGCAAGTGAGTCACCATATTTGTTGCACCTTCTTTGTTGTCATCCACAAGTCATTCGTTGCGTGCCTTACATTTGCTGACTTTTATTAGGAATTTCATTGTCTTGTAAATCACAATCTTTATTTTAAATATTAGACCCGATTTGATTTTATTTTGATTACAAATTTGATTACTTATTTAGTGGCTTAGGTTCCACTCATTGTTCATTGTAGTTCCCATTCATATTCAACTCTAAGTCATTTGTAGTCAAATTGCAAGTCCTTACTTGTGTTCAAATCTAATGCATGTTCAAATACAAGTTCAAATTCTTGTCCACCGTGCTTGATTCAAATCAATTCCAAGATGAGTCCACATTTGAATCTATCTTCGAGTCTGTTGTCATTTTGGTTTGAGTTCATGTTCACTACGATCTCAAATCAAGTCTTGTTCAAGTTTGAAGTCCAGAATATAAGTTCAAGTTCTTGTAATCTTTAAGTTTGAGTTCGCTTAAGTCATTTATTGCAAGTCCAAGTATAAGTCCCCTGCTGTCCTTGCAAGTTCATTTGCATGCTCAAATTGATTTTGATTTCTAGTTGCGTTTTGATTTTTTTTTTTTTTGTTTGACCTTTAGAAATCATTTAAATTTTGTTCAGGTTTAGGTCCATGAGTTCACTGCTTTTTTGGGACAAATCAAGTCCGAGTGCAGTTCTATATTCATCCGAAATTTTGGCAGCCTCCCTGCATCTCCCCCGTTTAGGGGAAAACTACGAAAAAATTGTGTCTCCCACCACGCTAGAGAAAAGCGTGTACGGTAGGCGCCCTCATACGAGCACACCGCGGCCGTGAAACCTTAATTTGTCTCCACGACGCTAGAGAAAGGTGTTCGGTACCTGTTACAAGAAAAGCAGTCGTTTCCTTGCAGGAACAGAGCCGCCTACGGGTACTTAAAATTATCCCGGCCACGCTAAGAAAAGCGTGTACTGAGCTTATCCGCCTCGCTGTAAGTGTCGCACCGGATTCCCTTCCCACCACGCTAGAGAAAAGCGTGTATGGGCGGTTTGCCAACTCGACACGAACGTCAAGGACAGGATTTTGGAGTCAAGGGTCGCTTGCCTACCTCGTCGTAGGTGTCACGCCAGGTTCCCTTCCCACTACGCTAGAGAAAAATGTGTATGGGCGACACGAATGTTGAGGTAAGAAAGAGAATTATTTTCTAATTAATTAATTATAATTAATTACAATTAATGATAATTAATTATAATTTAAAAATAATTAATCATAATTACAATAATTAAGCATATTTAATTATAATAATAATTAATTAATTTAAATTTAAATAATTAATTTTAATTAAAATTATAGTAAATTATTAATGATAATAATAAACCTTAATTTTTAAAAGATTAATTATAAT